GATCACCCGCATCTGATATCTTCCTATATAGCTGGTGCCCAACATAGGTGCCTGCTTGCTTTATCTGGGCAGCTGGGATGACCTTCACACCTCGGGTGACCCTGCTGGGAGTAGACACACTTGGCATACTCTCCTGATGTTCTTCACTCACCCCTCCCAGGGACAATTCCCACCACAACGAGGCAGCATTGCAGGATCTGAAAGATTGCAGAATATACACGCTCCAAATACCCAATGTAGCAACGAGTCCCTCAAAAAAGGCTTCCTATTTGTTTATTTGTTTGATTAACTGATTGATTTATATCCTACCTTTCTGTTCAAACAAGGAGTCTAAGGCAGTTATCCTTAATTAATCATTGATATACCACCTGATTCCAGTCAGTTTGATCCTGGTAATTAATCAGGTGGTTCGCCATTCAACATAATGATGAACCACCTAAAACTAATTTGTCACCGCCCAGAATCGCTCTGCAGTGAGATGGGTGGTGACAAATTTGAAAAACAAACAGACAAACATAATAAAATCAAAATTTTACCACCTCTCTCTAACCATACATGACCCATCATTAACTTTGCTGCACAGCCTCATCCTGCAATCATAAATCTTTCTTAGTGAAAAATGTCCTGTTTCCATATGCAGGGATGAAAAAGCAATCTTTAGTAATCCAAACCACAAAAAAATTGAGTTAATTGGAATTCAAAGTATGTGGATTAATTAACAGGATCAAAATTAATAGGCGGCACTCGCCCTTTTACCCAGGAAGGCCTTGTACAGCAGTTGAGTGAAACTGGTTGATTTGCAAAGACTTATCCTACAGGGCAAAGTAATGTTTTAATTGCACATTACGACAGAAACAAGCACATATTAACATAGGGGTAAATGGAAAGACTCCAGAGACAAGTCAGATGGTGTTGTATCTAATACATGTATCTGGAAAGGGTCCAGTGGGAGGAAGCTTGCTTAGTTGCTAATATTCATTCCCTTTAAGGAGGAAAAACTAATTAGGCTTCATAAAAACAATGCTGATGAACTTGCAAGATGATGTTCACATTTACTCATGCTTTTACACCAGCCGCGCCCCCCTCCCCATTTCCCTCCCCAATTTTTACAACTGTTCTTCATTCCAGTCACATTTTGTTTTATATAAAGCGCTCTTTGGATCTTTCTCTTTGCAAATATAGTAAACATGCATTTAGAAATCATTGGAGTTCAAAGAGCAGGTAGTCCCTGGGTTAAGAACGCCCGGTTTACAGACAACCCAGCGTTAAGAACAGGGCCTATTGCAGCAAAATTTGAGTTAAATACACAATGGTTCAAGTTCATTACACAATACTACTTATACAGTATTATACAATAATACTGTTCCGACTTACGTACAAATTCGACTTAAGGACAGACCTTAGGAACAGAATTCGTTCTTAAACTGGGGACTACCTGTTTTCTTCAAAATGGGTTATTTGCTCAAGGAAAAAATAACGTTATATCCTTCCTTAGAATCATCCCAGCTCATCACCTTTCACTGCAAGTTTCTTCTACTGCTGGGAGAGCTGAAGGCAAAGCGTGCATGCAACTATTTCTCCATATTAAAATTAGAACTAATGATTCATTGTTTAGATTAATCCATTTCACTCTGAATGGTGCATCTGCTTTAGCAAGTGGCAAATATTAAAAACAAGAACGGAGAGCACAGCTTCAAGAGTGTTTGGTTCAAGGTTGGATTTAGGCTGGAGAGACTTATCTTGAAGCCTAAACCTATTTTATTTATTTAT